ACTGAGACGACATGCCATCCATTGTACAGTTATTCATGTCCCTTTTAGTCTGTTTTAAATCTGCACGATTAGCGAATAAACGTAAGCAAATTGTTGGATGTCAAAGAGCTCAGATGTTCGTCTCTCAACATATCGATGCCAAATGTCTCATACCTAATTCTGGCAACGGCGGTCGGAAGCACAAAGGTATTTCACCGTCTCATGCTCTTCAAGACGGGCAAATGGAGTTGTCATGTACGCCTATCACAGTCCGATGCTTGTGCTACGTGAATAGACCAGTCAGCAGTCCAACAAGTTGTCTGCCGTCTCGTCTACTCAGTGAGAGCAAAAAACTAGATAGACCTTCTGAGATTGAAGGCAGCACGAGTTTTGCCCTCCTGCAGCTCCTCGATACCTCCTAATCATTTCTGAGCGAAGTAGTTACCCAAATTTCTTATGGTGGCTTCGATGGCTGAAGGTGGGAGGGCTATATATGTAAATCTTTTTCAAAGTCGCTAACAAAAGCTCAACATCTTCTTTAAGTATAATGGGTAGGACGGAATAACATATCATTCGCCACAGTCCTGGCAACAAACCAGTTGTACCTTGTAACAGTGGTTCTCGCATTCCCTCCCTCTACAGTCGAGAGAGAGGAAGGCATAACCATCACCTGATTTCCTGGAAAGTGAGTCTCTAGAAGAACAGAGAGAGCATCAACCCTAGTCTCCATTAAGGAGCTATTATGCCCTTGATTGAACCCAATTTTATGGAGTGTTAGTGCTCACCTCTAACCATTCAGTCCCAGTGGCCCATAATAACCTAATAAACTTAGTTTTAAAAAAAAAGAACAAATGTCTCTAGAAAGTCGAACCTCACAGCAAACCTTCATTAAATGCAAACAAATTTACAAAAAGTCATAAGAGGAACTGCGACTAGAGCGACAGTTTCGCTAAAATAAGTTTTGCTAATATCTAAAAATAAAGCAAGCAATTGAACCAAGTCGTTTTAATTTTAACAACACAGCAAACTTTTATATGCAGTCAGCCATTCTGAGATTTTCTCATAACTATTAGATTTTTTGTACATGTATACTTGCTAGCAACAACATCAAAATAACTGCCAACATGAGCAACCACACCACATCGACATCACATCAAAAACTTTTCATCGCAACATCACATCAACACATCAACAGCTTAGTTTCAGACATACATAGGTTAGCAGAAAGTGGAGAAAATATTAACGCATACCAGCAAAAAGCCAAATCCGGTAATATAAATGCAATTTGGCGAACAATATTTAGTTATGGCAAGCAAAAAAAAACAAACAAAAGCCAATAAGAACAAGAAAATGCCGACGCACATTACAAACGTATCTACTTCTGCTTCAACTTTCTTCGAGCCAACACGTTTGTACATTTGATATTACCGTTACACACATTGAACTACTTACAAGTACAACGCAGCATTTGGCGTGGAAAAGTTTTAAGGACATGTCAGGATGATGCCATGCCAATGGTGCCAGACATTATGTGCGAAATTTTATGCATGGCACACATGTCCAGCGAGTGGGTGGGGTGAAAAAGTCGAATGAATTATGACGGAAACACACTGGTATGTATGTGTCCATATTTTATATTTATTTCTTTTTCCGTTATGAGTACAAAATAAATAATATAAAAAAAAAACTTTTTAATATACAAAGCTTTTATAAATGGACTAAAAAGTAGAAAATAATATTTCTCAGTCCCATAGAATTTGTTTTGATAACTTTTGATTTTGAAATTTTAGCAAAAGTCATTATAAACAATCTATGAAATTGAAAATGAAAAGCGTGGAGCGCATGCAATACAAAGCATTCGATTTAATTGACAATAGTCAAACTACATAACGTAGACCTAAAATTTCTACAGCGAAAGTAGAACTTTGAAATCGATTTTAAGCGGTCGTTATTCATATACCCACATACATACATACATATACTACTTTTCATATCAATTCAAGTGTATTACATGCGCCCCACGCTTTTCATTTTCAATTTCATAGATTGTTTATAATGACTATTGCTAAAATTTCAAAATCAAAAGTTATCAAAACAAATTCTATGGGACTAAGAAATATTATTTTCTACTTTTTAGTCCATTTATAAAAGCTTTGTATATTAAAAAGTTTTTTTATATTATTTATTTTCTACTTTTTAGTCCTGTCTGAATAAAATTTTGCAATAGATATTAAAATAATTCAACGATATTAATAGAAAGGTGCACACACATGCATTTATATGTGTATGTACATACAAACGAGCACCAATTAATTTTATTTAAAGAAATGGCGTGTAGTCTATTTCCGCGACATCTAGATGTCATCTACCTCGCCCTATTCACTACAGCTGTCGCCCTATGCACTATGCTTTTTTATAGGAACTTTTCAAAGCTTTGCTTTGGTGTCGGACACACAACATTGAAAGTTTCTGGACGCACAACATTGCAAGTTGATAAAAGCGTTGTAATGTAAAAAGAGGTATTTTTCTCCTGTTTTTACCTTCAAATTGTTGCTTTTCTTATATGTGTGCAAGGTATTGTGTTGTATTTTAATATGAATTTGCTGGGGTATATGCAAGTATGAATGTACTTTTGTGTTTGCAGGTACGTACATTAGGGTGGTCCAAAATAAGTAAAGTCGGAACTTTAATGCTCTCACCCACTAGAATTTTTCTATATCGAAAAAATCTACCCCTATTTTTTATTTTGAAAACAAAAAATATTTACAGGTCACTCAAAGCGCTTAAAGTTTTCCATGTACTTTATATGGAAAAAAAAACTTTTCGTAGAAATGGCAAAGAGTTCTTGAAAATCAATATTTTTCGATCGGAAAACTCTGGTTCTCTTCGGGAGACTTCCAATAAACATACTCAATTGCTTATTTAACCATTTTCTAGTGCTGAAGATTTTTTTTATTTTCCCATTGCATTTTGTGGGGGTTTTGTCAGACCTATAAAATAAAGTTACTATGAAAAAATGGTTGAATAAATAATTGGGTATTATTATTGTACATCTCCGGAAGGGAAACAAAGTTTTCCGATCGATAAATATTGATTTTCAATAATTCTAGACCATTTCTACGAAAAGTTGTGTTCTTCCCATATAAAATACATGGAAAACTTAGAGCACTTTGAGCGAACTGTAAATATATTTTGTTTTCGAAAAAAGAAAATAGGGGTACATTTTTTTCGGTATAGAATGATCCTAGGGGGGTGATAGAATGAAAATGCCGACTTCACTTTTTCACATGTATTTTTGGACCACCCTAATGTACATACATACATATGTGTGCGCTATCTTGCTGACGTCACATATTCGCGACTTATATCCTGACACTTTAAGGACAAGATTCTGTCAGCGGCATTTATTCAATGACGACTTGTTGTTATTGTTCGTAGTATTATTGTGCTCGTTTCTGACTGCTGCATGCTGGCTGAATCTTTTATTCTTTAAACAAATGGCCGTTATCTCAGTGCACGATGTGTGCGTACAGTGACGTAGCCAGGGGGAAGCCGCGATTAGGGGTCGGTTAAAGCACTATTTTTTTTTACTTTTGATTTAATAACACAATACAATTTTATCCTTCTGATTTATCTTCTCTTTCAGACTAATGAAAAAATACTTTTTTATGAAAATTTAAGATTATCGGTTGTAGGATTATGCATTTGAATATTGAGCCACTGCTTGTAGTAAATATTATAAAAATACACGAAAGCTCTCTCTGTGGGTGCGTATCAGACCGAAGGGATACCGTAATTTTCTCGGTCTGAAATTGCTGAGGTAAAATTTTACTGCCTTTCCTGCACTACGGCCAGATATTTATCCAAAGGCCCTTATAAAAACAATTTGTATATTAAAATTGAAAATAGAGAACTTGACAGTACTAATACTCTTAAGAGTTGTGCAAAAAATATACAAAACCTTCAATTTAGAAGTGTCCATATTAGAGCTCTTGATATTCGATTAATCGAATATTCGAATTATTCGAATATGATACTATTCGAATAGTGAAATTCGATTAGCAGTATTCGAATAATCGCTCACTGTCGATTATTCGAATAACCTGCTCGTAGTCAATTATTCGAATAATAACTGGTGCTCGATTATTCGAATGTTGAAATGTGTGTAGGAATAAGTATGTACACATTTAAATAAATTGAAATGTAGGAACATAAGTTTGTTTTGAGACAATTTTGTAATTATTCAGCAACAATATAAATGAACAGGTTAAAAAATCACATAAAATGCATTTTACCTTCTAAGAGGAATAATTAAGTTATTAAAATGGACACATATCTGTGAAGAAACGCTTATTATTATACAGGAATGTAAGAAGGCTAACATTTTGCGGTGACAAACAACTTCTACGTGGCGTGACAATATTCCCAGCAATTGAAAAAGTGCGTTCGGACTCTGCCGATGTAGCTGGTATGCACAAATATCTTGCGGTTAATTTGAAAAGTTCCGGATAAATAGCACGGTGATTTTTCCACCATGTTAGGGGATGAATGTTGTGGCCGATCTGAGGTTCAGCCAAATAAGAGTCGATTTGTGACATAAAATTATTTGTTGGGATTTCACCATCAAACAAAAAATCCAAGTCGGTATGTACTACGCTGTCTGTTTCTTGGTTAATGACATTGCTTACTTGAAGTTGGCTTCTGATAAAGTCATAAACCTTGTGTTTTGTTTGCGAATCTTCATCATTAAGGTTCTTATATCTGGGGTCTAAAAATTAGGAAATTATTGGAGCTGAAACTTTTTCTAAAACACAACCCATATTGAACCTTTCAAAAAGGGAATTATGTGCAGTTTCTTTGAATATATATTTATTTGCATCGTCTTCCGACGATGCGGCCATGTGGTTTTTAATAAGACGGTGTATTAAAGGTCGCACTAAAGACAATGTCACATTTTTGCCACCACATAGCACTGCAGTCGCTTTATCAAAAGGTTTCAAAATGTCAAATAAGTTCTGCATTTCACCCCACTCCTTCTCTTGCATTTCTAGCCTCAGCGCATCGCAAGTTTTTGTAACGGTTTTATCTGATAAAACTAGGCAGATTGCATTTCGATTCAAAAGCAGCCTCTCACACATGTAATATTTGGAGTTCCAACGTGTTTCGCAGCATTGTATGAGTCGATTTTCCTTTATCCCCAACTGTACTTGGCGGTTTACTAGTGCAGTTATGGCAATATTTGAGCGATGAAAATGTGCTGTTAAATTTCGTCCTTTTTTGCAAATTTTATCGTAATCAGGTACAGCTGCTAATGCGTCACAAGCTGCAAAAGGTGAGCGCTGCACTTGATGCTGTCCCCTATATTAAAAAGTTGTTGCGCTGCTGCATTCATGACTGATGCACTGTCGTGCGTTATCGCTTGCGTTTTGTCGGAAATGTTCCAATCGGCTAAAACTACTTCTATTGCGGATGCAATGTTTTCAGCATTTGGTCGGTCTATAAATACAAATTATTTAAACAATTGACATGTCTTAAAATTAAAACACAAATTATGCATGTATGTATGAGTGTATGTGTTTATTTTATATATCTACATACAAGGTAGTTATTTTAATAGATTTACCTTCTAGTTGCTCGTTACAAAGTGTAACTTTGCACAATTCACTATTTTTGTCAATATACTGGGCTTCGACTGATAAATAACAATCTTGAGTTCTTGATGTCCATTCGTCCACTGAAATTGATGCGCTTTCTACCTCCGCCAAATCGTTTGCAATTTTTTCTCTTACGTCATTATAAAACAATTGTAAGCGTGAGAGTATACTTTGTTGAGAGGGAACTTTGTATCCTGGTTCCAATAACTTCATAAAGTCGCGAAAGCCTTCAGAGGAAAGGAAGGAGATTGGTAACATGTTACTTGCGATTAGGCGTGCCACTCCACGAGATATCAATTCCTGACGTTCAAATGTGCAGTCATGAACGGTGTCGTGCTTTTTTTCTCTTACGGCCACCCGAGGTGCTCGCCTGCGTTTCAACGCATTCACCACTTGTTGCATCGATATTCGTGTCCGGTGTTCTACATATGTGTAACAAGCTTGTGCTCTATATTTTACTTATAACTTATATTTTTCTTTATTTGTACTTACATGCCACCACCACGAATCGGTTCCTTCTTATGGACTTGTTTCAAGTGAGTGCTTAGCGAGGAAGTGGAGTAGTGGAAACTAAGGACTGCTCCACAAATGGAGCAGGTAACTTGCTTACCATCACTGCACTTCGTAAAAAAACTCCACACCCAACTTTGTCTTCTTGCACTCATGTTCACAAAAACACACAAAATTTATAAATTCTTTTTTTTTTTTTTGACAAATAACACTTATTACAACGATCGAATATTCGATTTTAAGAAGTTATTCGAATAATCGTAGCTTTGCGACTATTCGAATAATCGAAGAGAATCAACTATTCGAATAGTAACATTCGATTTCCAATCGTACAAACAATTGCCATTCGAACGTTCGAATATTCGAATAATCGAATTATTCGAACAATTTCAAGAGCTCTAGTCCATATCCCAAAAAGTATACCCGAAGAGTTTTGAATAGAATTCCTCCTTGAACAGAGAAGTCATACGAGACACTAAAAGAAGAGGCTTACAAAAGCGTTAGAATAGATGCTCTTTTCTCAGAGCCTCACAAAAGCATTATAAGAGCATATTTTACAAGTAGAACTTTTTACAAAACCTTAATAAAACTAATTGTTCTTTGAGCTTGGAGTTTTGTATCATCAGAACAGTCTCATTAAATTTAATGAAGGATATCCGATACATTTGGCATCCCCAAATATTAAACTGCTACCCTGTATCAGCTGTTAAAACTTGTCAAATTTAAATCCCAAATTTTCGGTTAGGAATAGGCGAGTGAACATGCGAGTGAATCGCCCATATATGTATGCAAGAATCCACACAGCGACGCCTCTAGCCATTGTGTGCCTCATCTTTAATCGCTGAATATTTATTTATCCCCCTTCCCGAGGTCCTGGGGTAGCCACTGTGTATACATGTGTATGTAAGAGTGCTAGAAATGTGTTCAGTTGCACATGAAAAGCATTTTGGTATTATTTAGATTCTAAAAATAGGTTTTACATATACCTGTGCCATTCTCATTCGTGAGTATATGAAGTGGGTGCGAGTAATTAGCATAACAGGTGCCGCTGGCACATACCATCATGCGGCTGTACAAAGGGCGAAAGCACTGTGAGGCGTTGTTGTGTTGCGGAAAACAATATCTAGCGAGGGAGGTATGCATTTCGTGCTGCATTCTCATGATACATGACCACATTTTCCGCTAAATAAATGTTTACTTTCGTTTTAGAGATAGTATCGTGACATTGTGGCAGAGAATCCTCGTTATCTGTTTCAAGGTGTTCAAGAGAGAAAAATGTGAGCGGCAAAATATCATCCATTGGGTGCAAAGAAAAAGATGGCATACTTTTTGAAGTGCAGGATGTTCACAGACCTCAAATCATTCGGCCTTTGTTAGCAGTTGGATGTTCTTGTTTTTAGTAGGTACTCAATCCTTTCGTCCTTCTCACTGCTCGGTTGAATTTTTGGTGAAAATCGGTTCTCGGGAGCTACAAAGCACCGCATCTACATAAAGGGCGGTCCATATAGTGTTCTTTCTTTTTACTCATATGTTAATTTTTGGCGGCCGCTGTGGCTGAGTGGTTGAAGTTCCTACTACCGCTCCTCCTACACCTCCGAGTGTATTTCTGTCATGAAAAAGCTTTTCATAAAATCCATTTGCGGTTCGGAGGCGGCGTAAAACTGTAGACGCCTATATTTTTGTAACATCAAGACGCGCTCCACAAATCGGAGAAGAAGCTCGACCAAACACTTAGCAAAAGTGTAAGCCAAAATATTATTATTATTCATTAGTATGTACAGAGTATAGGATGCAGTGCTAACCGCCGCTATTAAATTCTAAGCACCAGAGTGAGAGGCATATTGATGTTTATTAAAGCTAAAGACAATGGCGTAAGGTGCTAATTTAATGGTGATTTCATTTCATCCAAAAAATGTTGCCCTTCCACGGTGCAAAATGTGTTTGATCTTACACTCAACCCTCTAAAAGGGCATGTTTTTGCCTTCTTGACCTTGTGTAGCTCAGGCATTACATAATATGGTCGTTATAGCAACCATTTGATTTTCGGGGCAAACATCCCCGCATCAAAGGGCCTTACACCATTTTAAGAAACGAACACAAAATTTTCTCACTGTGTACGTTTATTTTAGAATCGAACACGAAAAGGGAAAGGGGCGATCAATTGGTGACATTTTTCGGTAGAAACGAAAACACCATAAGCAATTTTCTGAATACGTTTTGAAAAGGGAATTTAAAACGATGAAAGTTCTTACTGGAGGCTTTGAAAATGTCACAACCCATATATATTTAATTGAGTTGATGCCATTGTCTTCGTGCCAAACCTAAGGTACTCCGAAAGTGTGTTTTGAAGTGTTATCTGGCCCGAAGATTACGCCCGTCACACTTTTGTCCCACATTTTTAAGCTCTTGGACAAATTTTGTGGAAGATATTTATTCACGCTGATATCACCGTGCGATAGTTACTTTTACACACAAAAATCAATACATTCGCGAAATTATTGGGCAAATACAATAAAACAGCGTTTTTAATTTTTCTCTCAAACTCCAGAATTTTTTAAAGGAATTTGAAATTTCAAAGATTTCATTAAACAAATTCAGTGCCACGTAGATTGACAATATGGGTATCAAATTGAGGATAAAACTCCGTAGAATTAAAAAAGAATGAATTTTTTGGTCCATAAATATATGTTAAGCACTAATACATAATACACGTTCACATCCCCGAATATCGTTTAAAAATATTTAAAAACTAGCTACACGTTAAAAATCATTATCGACTCCCTGGTATTTGTTTTGGAGACGACACTGAGAATAAAATTTCGTAAAACTGCTACGAAAAATATTCGTAGTCTTGGTTTTTGTACAATGTACAAAACTTTCGTTCATAATACGAACACATTATTCACAACGAAACAAGATTTTACGAACCATCCGTAAATATAACGAAAGGAGTTTCGTAAGCCGTTTTTTCAGTACAATTTACGAAATCTTACGTTTATTTTACGAAACACATTCGTAAAGTACTGAACAAATCTCTGTACGAATAGTTTTGTATATTGTAGGAAGGCATTCGTAATAATTACGTATGGTTTTAAAACTTACGAAGTCTACAATTCTGTATTCGTACAATTTAGTTAATACTTTCTTACAAAGTACTAATGCAGAAACATGTTTTTTAAAATTGTACAATATACGAATATTTTCGTACAATATACTAAATTACCGGCAGTTTACTATTTCATCATATTTTTATGTATCGCGTGTCATTGCGGAATTACTTGTTGGCTGCTGTGAGACGTATAATATAATTTAAAAAATTTTAAAAAGGGATTTGCTGGATAAAAATACAAAATTAAATATTAAAGCTGTGGATATACGCTTTTAAGCATACAATGTTTTTAACATCGCCTACGCTGCGCCTTGCGCTGCAATGTGGGACTTGATAAATAGGCAATTTCATCAGTTACCTATCAACGGCAAGCCTAAGCCAGGAGGACTACTTAATGAAATTAAAAGTAAGTCATGTATGATTTTTTACTGAAACTGGCTTTTTAGGGGCCTTATAATTTTCCTTTAATTTATAGTCGTCAAGAAAACAAACATCGATGAAGCTGCGAATCCGTCAAGTACCTCTGCATAAAAATATTATAATGTTTAAGAAAGTAAAACCAGTATTTTTTATATTCTTTCATATTTTATATTTTATTATATGCATTTAGTTTTGTTGAGTTTCATAGTTTAATACTTTGCATCAATATACTTTATTGAATGAAGCCTAAGCAATAAAAATATGTGGTATAGAACCTATTCGTATGCATATACTCGTAAATGAAAGACTTAAGTTTTATTATAAGTAAAATAATTTTTTTTTAATAATTTGAAACTGCATAGTAGTTAGAAAATTTAGGTAAAACTTATTATTTACGACAGTTATACTTGTAATATCTGAACTTCTTTCGTAGAATGTATGATTGCTTTTATTATTAACACTATAAAAAACATAACTCAAATTATAGCATAACACTTCCATTATATTTTAATCATTAATGTTAAGCGTTTTTGCAAAACATTTTACTAAACAAAAACGCTTAAAATTAACGATAAAAAAGTGTTGTGTTATAATTCGTAGTATGTTTTTTACAGTGTGGAGAATGAAAGTAATCGCACATTCTACGAAACAAGCGCAGATTTTACGAAAATGATTTCGTTAAATATACGAATTATTTCAGTGCATTTACAAAAATTTCGTAAAAACTAAGAAATAGCACGAAATTCCTTAGTAAATAGTACTAAATTCGTTAGTAAATAGTACGAATACATTCGTAAAATGTACTAAAGATCTGATGTCTCATATTTTCGTAGTATGTACGAAAACGATTTTGTACAATCAACGAAAACTTTCGTGGCTCAAAATGACGAAAAATTTCATAAGATGTACGCAACTTTTCGTTATATTTACGCAGATTTTATTTTCAGTGGAGTAACCGGGCACAAGGACCGTTTGTCCAGTATCTGGTTTTCACTATTTCCCAGTTAAACATCATTAACGACGTTTTCGACATCATGCATATGGCATAACAGACATGTTGAAACGGCCCTAAAAGTACAAAGCTTAAATTGATCACTTGCCTTTGTATGCATTTTTACATATTATTTTCCAATACTTCATACATATGTAAGTCAGCAACAATCAGTTGTTCTTCTAAAACCGAAAGTCATGATCGACATATGCCGTTGTAGGCCGAAAGTCAAAATAAGACCAAAAAACTAAAACAAAATTGCGTCAAGTTCCATTTTCGCATATTTGTGTTCCTCCACACACTAACGCCTTCCTTCGTATAATATTAATAAAAATGACAAAAATGATTGATGAATTGTTTGCTTACGCTTTTCATAATAGCTTGATTGTCTTGCTACCCTTATCAAATATTTAATTTTAAGGAAAATTAAATTACGTCACCGAATCTCATACCTTTGACTAAATTATATGCGCTGCAAATTGAAGTCAATGTTTTATTTTTATTTATAGAAGTAAGAAGTGATACGAGTATACCAAAATTTGGCAATAAATTAAAGTGGGCAGTTCCATGAAGAGGACCTACACTTAACCAGTAA